TTTTGTATGCTAAACTTTATGTAGTGCATCAGGAGCACATGGTTATTTTCCACAGCCAGTAATTTTGACTATACTATATAGAATTTTTCTCTGTACAACCAAAACAATTAATAATAGAAGTCATTGGGCAGTTGCTGAATTGTGAGACATTCCATGAAAGGTAAAGTTAAGCTGTAAATTTATATAAAATGTTCTTTTATAGATGGCAGTCATTTTCTAGAGGGAAGCATTTGTGAAAATATGTCAGTAACGTAGTGGTAAACATCCAGCTTACATTTTTACACAGAAGTACTTCACAAGTTTCTGTCTGACTGCACATTGATACTAGAAGAACTTAATGAAAGTGAAAGTAACTGGAACTTCCTTTTTACTACACTCCGCCAGTATTCGGAAATTTAATAAACCTGCAAAAAACAACTAGGTAAGACAGTCTCTCTATCTAAAACCTGTTAGAGTGTAGCAACTGAAGTTCTGAAATCGTTGATTTTGATGTTGATGAAAACTTGTCAAATAAATTTTGCAGCAATGGCGATAAATAATGTGAACCTAAGACTGTTTATTAGGAGAAATGACATAACACGGTTTGCACACCAGTAAAAGCTTTGAAAAAATGGAAACCGAAACTGGGGAGCGGCGGTGCTCTGATAAACAGCACTGGGTGTTGACACACTGTTTTTTACACCGAAAACAGTACCTGTCTAGCCAACTGACTTATGTGTTTACATTTCAGCTGTGCGTGTATTGTCAGTTGCTAACAAATTGATTATTGACCTCAGACAAATAGTTTAGGATTTCCTAACTTGAAATAAGGTACTGTAAGATGAGATGTAATTCGTAACTTAAGATAAGACTTCTATAATGTAATTTGTGAAAAATCTTATCTTCACCTATCAGATCTTAATTTAGGACTAAAGATAGGAAGTTTATGTAATACGAAAAATATCACTCCTTTAAAATGCAGCATAATTTATACATCTGAAGTCATATTACGGAAACATCCTGTCCTGTCTCATAAGCCGTTAACAAGCTATGGGTCCGCCGGCGGGCCCAAAGTTTTATCACACACTTCTATAACCTAAAAACATCTCAGCCAGCTTGCATTAAAGTCCCTGTAGTTACTGAATATTAAGTAGTATAATGTATGAAAAAACCTGGAATTATAAGGTGTTAACTTATCTCAAGCAGCTGTGATGTGCACAGCTGAGACATAAACATGCAATCAAAATAGCAAATGTAAGTTAGTTAGCTAGAGACCTACCAATGTAAAACTGTCTAAAAAAACTAAAAATATTAAAAACTAAAGCAAAAAACTAGTTTGTAAGGGCACCCCCTGCTGTTTAATGGGGTGTCACCGCTCTGCAGTTTCAGTTTCAGGAGTGCTACTGGATAATAATAACTTAGCTAAAGTTAGTGGAAATCAGTGTTTTAATGGTTCTGCTAAATGAAACCTCCTCTGTGCAATAGAAGCAGTTAGTCTCTTCAGTAGTTTTAGAATGGCTGGTGCAAAAAGGCTAGTATGAGTAAATCATTGTTTGCAACCAAGGCGGTCAGGTACCACTTCGTTTTTGTCTGACATTGATGTAGAACACACTGATTCCCAATCCTGGTCCTGGAGATCTACCTGCCTGCAGAGTTCAGCTCTGGCTCTTATGTAAGACACCTCATCCAATTAATAGATGCGTTCAGAGGCATCTGAAAATTAGACACAGTGGTTTTGGATCTGAACCCTCCAGGATGGTGAATTTCCAGGACTAGGATTGGCCCCCTCTGTTCTACAGCAATTACCTGTTTCCCTATATGATTTCACTATAATGTGTCATTTTCATTTTCATTTCAAGTTAAAGGTTCCAAGGCTCGAGACCTTGTACAGGGGGTTGGTTTCTGAACTTGTCCCATTTTTACCGCTTACGCCTCATGTTTAAATTTTACACTGTCTGCTGCCGAACACAGTGTGTGTAAAACACACTGAATAATATATGTGTATAATGTGAATAATATATCCAAATATATCATATAGATATTGTGAGTAATTATGGAGCTTTTAGAATTTGAAGGCATTTATTAGGCCCTTGAGTAGAAACTGTGGCCCTGTCATGGACCCACCTAAAAAATCCTAGAACCACCAGTGAATGAGAGAGAACAGGGGAAAGTCTGTTTGCAGTTTCTGAGATTTTTGAACTGCAGAGTCTCTTGCAAGCGAGACCATGCAATATGAGGAAATGTACCGTGATTATGCTAGTTAAAGTGAACTTTTTATACTGCCTGTCACAGTTGCTGAAAACTGATAGCGTTTTCTGTTTTCAGCAGAATGGCAGTAGAAATGGGTTAAAACAGATTTTTTTAGGGCACTGTTGTGGTTATCCTAAAGTTAGGACAGTATTAAGGAAATTTGGTCTAGTTAGGATGCTTCTGAATTGTGATCCTCATGGTGGGCTTATATTTAGGAAGAGGTGGGGTGGCAGGCTGGTATTCTGTGGGATACTGTGGTTGATGACAAGAGGAATGGCTGGGTTAGTCTATGGGGAGCACCACACCCAGAGAGGGAGGCAAGCCAGACATTCCATTTCACCCAACTGTGGCTTTCCGTCCTGGACCTTCTTTTTACAGAAGTGTATACCCTCATAGTTTTTTTTTAAGTTCCTCTTTTTGTGTGTTATTATATTAGCATGTTCTCTGAGTTGTGATGAGGCAGTGTAACCCTTGTTTTAGCATTTAAAAAGGTCACCAACAACAAAACCATGGGATAATTTGACAGTGTTTTTCATTCATTGAAATACGCAAAGAAATTCCATTGAATCTGTGGATTTTAAACTTTCAGTTGGTGCTACATTTGTGTTTGTAAGTCGAGCCGTAGACATTTTATTTGTTAATTTCCTTGTTATTGAAACTAAACGAGTCATCATGAGCCTGTCCGCACAGACAAGGGTAAATTTAATTCATAACGTACCTATGTGATTATGTAATTACATAACTGTATTCAGTAGTACAGCAAAATGGCGGTAATAACTCTTGACAGCTAATTGTTAAAGTTTTCATTATGAATAATTCTTAGTTTGTCCCTTGAAATCTTTGTCATGCCCACAATCTAAGCAAAGAGAAAGCATGCAGTACAGTGTTGGGACGTATTTAAAAATAGAGTGTCTTGATACATGCACAAGTGTTACACCACATGTATTCTATATGTGCAGCTGTGTGTTTAATTTTAATCTATCATGGAATTAGCCTCGGCCATGTGTATCTTGCAGGAATGCTGAAAATGTCTTTTAACAAGTGGGTCCAGGTTAGTGGGGCATAGATCCTGTGTTATAGGATCAGCCCCTGGAGACACCACTCGAATCCCTTGCACAATGAACTTGAGTTTACAAAGACCTTGTCCACATATGAAATCTAAATGAGGATCTATCAAATGCAAAAACAGTATCCATATACCACAGAGTCCTTTACTCTGTCATAGGTTTAAGCAGCCGTTAGCCTTGACCCGAGAGGCTAGGGGCACTTTTATTGGCAGATCTCTTGTAAATCTGAGCTGAGTTAAAATGTGCTCTCCTGTTACTTTCATTCTTGTATCACATTTACACCTGCTTTTTGAGCACTGATCAGTCAAACAGCAAGTACACTTGTAAGCATCTGTTTGACACATTAGAAACCATTAATAAGATCACCTTGTTGAGAAGATGACTGATAACCAGCCATGTGTGAAATCACCCTTTTATGGAATACATATAGTATGCAAGTTTCTAAGTATGTGGAAAACACTAGCACTTCATGCACCACAAACATCTTTTCAAATTATCATGTCACGAAAGTAACGTGAAATATGTAAAATATTTTGTGTCTAAAAAGATAACTTTATGAAGTACTAGTTCTGCATGGGGAGGCAGGATAGTGTAATTTCGCGACATTCTGTCTGTTTATGTCCAATTTGCACAGGATGAAAAGTCTCTATATTACAGAGAGGAAAGCACCTTCTTGATTTATGCACTACCTTCACACCAACATAAGTTCCATATGCAGTATGTCTGGTTAAACATTTTCTTGTCACTTCATGTTTTAATGTTCAGAGTTGTACACTTGAGGTAAGATAATACATATCAGCTAGATTTAGGCCACAGAGAATACAAATACATGGGGTACATAGATAAAACTGCCTCCATACTTCACACACAGAACTCCTTTTCCCACGGGATATAATGGAATATTTAATAGAGACGTGCATTTCCATCGTTTTTGATGTTGAAGTATCCAAGTCAATGAACGGATAATCACTTAACTGCAGGAAGAGAAAAAAATAGCAAAAAAAATTTAGTTATTTTAAAGAACTGTATATTTTCTCCACATTGTAAAAAGGTTACATGTTGTAAAGTACATAAAGTGGTTGCATTTTGAGTTTTGAGTTCATTGAACGTCTAATAGCAAGTTACAGAACAACAGTCTATGTTTTACATTCTTACATACTTTACTCCACATATGTACATACTTATTATGTACATATGTGGAGTTTTATTACATAAAAATTACTGGCATGGCAGATGTCAGACAAGAAACATTTACATTAATTACTAATCTCCCTAAAACTAATCTGGTCTGAATATTCATCACACTATTAATGTACCTTAAAAACTTGAAAGGATTTCAGAATTTCTGTTGGGCAATTTGTCATAAAGTGTTCACACAATGTAAAAGCCAGACAGTGTTATTCAAATGATAAAAATATTAATTCAAAAATAAAGAGGTGACCATGTGTTGTTTGTAGACATTTAAATAAGACTTTCTGTCTAATAGCAGAAGCCAAACTGTATTCTACCTGTTACTGATCAACACATCAGTGCACAGTGTTCTCTCCATCCTCTGAATTTTAGTTGAATCCAAGCAACATGGCCGTTGTTTAAGCCACCTTGTGTGGTTCCCTCAGGAGCCCTTGCTTTGCCGTGTGTGTATGTGACATTTTGAAGGTGTGTACATTTATCACCATGGTTATGGGCTTTCTCTTCCCTCTGCAGATTGTCTTTGAAGTGGTGACCTCAGGCCAGCGTGGTTTGCTGGCCATCAAGGATGTCGTCGTCCAGGGCCATCAGTGCAGTAAGGCCGAATTTTATGTCATAAAAGCACACACACACACACACACTCATTACACCACTGCCTGTCCTTTTAGTGACATCCTGCAAAATATCAGTGTAGTCTGTCTTTCAATAGACTCACACAGACAGGGCAGGAATGCCTTGTCCACCATGTTAAGGTACAGGCTTGGCAATGTTCTTTGTCTCTAGAGGCTCCTTGTGTTTATGAGTAAGAAGATAAGCAGCATAGAGCTTGTGTTAGACCAGACATTAGGTACTTTGAAATACAATGGAAGGAGAGCGGGAACCTGCACATCCAGGAAAGCAGGAGTAAAAGCTTCTGTGAGAAATGACTGCAGTAGGGATGCCCCAGTCCAGAAGATATGATGAAATAGTAATCAGTAAGAAAAAATAACTTGAAAATGACGTTAATGTAGGGCGGTAGCCTTACTTTTTGTGTGACAGAACTGGTGATGCACAAAAAGTTAGCAGCACGCAGAGGAATGCATTTGAAAAAGTGTTTGATTATTCAAAAATAGCTGAGGGAAATCAGTAAGTTTTATGTTGGATAAGCAACAGAGGCTGTCCCTTCAGGAGAGCTAATCAGCTAACAGAGCTTACTGGTAGAGCATTAATTGCTGATGGAGACTCGTTGTCTTCTTAATACAAATAGTCTTTTGTCCTAAGTAATGACAGTAAAGTAGTGCCCCTACAATGGGTTATAATAAATGTAAGAACTTGGCAAAGTGTCCTTATAGGGTGCCCTTGGTGCCATAGAGTAGCTTTGAGTATTTGTACTACATATTTCTTGAGTAATTCTAGCTTAATGATTGAAGGAAGTATGCATTGGCAGTGCCTTCAGTGAGTTAGGTGGACAGTAACTATGGTAGTATCCACTTCTGATAAAATACAAAGAAGTTAAAATTCTCAAATGTAGGATGTATAGGTTTTAGATTTAACACACCCCTAAATAGAGGATATAGTGACTTTCATGAAAATAAAAGGGTGAATTCACATTTTGTATATTTCTGTAATATCTTACTAATTCACAATCCTGCACTTAAAGGATTTCAACTCAAATGTACAGCTTTGAAAGTAAGGCAATTCTTAGAGCTATTCTTTTCAAATGTTGGTAATAAACAATTGTCGAGCTATAGCGAACTCAAAGTGCATAAATTCAAAGTCCAAAACTGTCACATTTTACAGTCCTTCAAACATAAAATTAGCATTTCACCAGATTATTGGTCTGTATATTTTCTCTGTGATGAACCATAACAAAAAACAATTAGTGATTTCAGTATTTGAATACTGGCACCATTGAGAAGTTAACTCTTAAGTATTTGTGGATATATCTAACATTTACCAACATGGCATTTTATACATAATTAACATAACCTGGATTAATTTCTACAGTCACAATGTTAAAGTCACTAGATTAAGATCAGTGTTGGAGTCGATGAAAAAATTAAAATAGATCAGTATTGGCTATAGTATTGTCTATTGGTCTGATCTGATTCCGCTCCTTTCTTGAAGCGAAATTCCACCACCTTTTCAAGATGTTTACATAATTATATTGATCAGATATAAGCAAAGCCATTCAGACTGATTTTATCTGAAGTGGTGCGTTGTAGAGAAACTTACTGACTGATTCTTTTTATAGTGATAGTGATATGAACCAGGCATCTCAGTGCCTACTGTGCAGATATAGACATTATGTACTTATTATCCCAATGACCAGTGAACCTACAAATGTCTATGTAATTTTTATATGTGAAATTGATAATGGTAAAATAATGATAAATTTGGGGTAATGCCTTAGTTAATGCCTATTTTGCCTTAGTACAGTACGCATGTAATAGTCCACCATGAATGGATTTAAAAAATATATACATTTTAGGCCAAAGCCTTCTCAAAACTGTCATAGTGCAATGTCTCAGCCCTTAGGCTGAGTGTTTGTAACCATTTCATTTAAAAACACACATATGTTTTAATGTTAGTGATTCCTTTCACCAAATTATAGTTCCTTAACAAGCAGCTTGTTGCTACATCAGAGTAACAAACTCCGCTCACTCGCTGCACAGCCAGCAGTTCGTTCTCCAGCTCTTTATACAGACCAACTGACAGTTTGGGAATTTAGTGTAGTCTCATCTTCAGAGTCTGACCAAATTGGCTGTTGGTCAAATGTAATCTTGGCTTTAGCATCTCCTACAGCTGTCAAGTCGTTGCTTAGCAGCGGTGTCTCAGCGGAATGATACAGTGTTGGTGAAAAAAACGTGCTGTTAAGGCAAAATTTACAATATTTTACCTCAAACCACTCTGAATAATTTTGTTAACATCTTCATTGTGTAATCATGCAGAAATGTTTAAAAATTATCATTTTTGTGGATCACCATTGAAAAGACATGTTGGCATAAGCTTAATCTGGGTTTGGAAAACAGGTCTTAAGTGATTTGACTGTACATTTAGTATTAGACAACCTAGCATATCTTACCTAAACTTTAATGTACTTGAAGAGTGATTATGCACTTCTATTATCTGTGAAAACACATACAATACTATGCAAAATATGCAAAAATTCAGAGACTGTCCTTCATTTATTTAACTTCCATTCAAAATGGCTAACAACAAGAACAAGTTATTCACTTTCTAGGAGATATTTTTCAGAAATTTAGATGTAAGATAATCCACTTGCATAAGGAGTGGGGAAGTCTAAGAAAAATAGAAAAAAAAACAGGAGTTTCCAAAACTGGAGCTTAAAAGAATTGTATAGGTACAAAGAAAATTTAACTCCTAACAACAATGCAAGCAACCAACCAACAAAACTGTCATCATCAGATAAACAGCACTTTCTTTCATCTTTGAGAGAGAGGAGAAAATCAAGCTCCACTCTTACTTCAGATCTGAAAAAAATCCCACAGGTGTTTCTGTCCATCCTTCCACTGTGAGAAGACAAATCAGCGCTATGGGTCAGAATGGATGAGTAGGTGTCAAGAAATGCATAACTGGCAAAATGAAATAGACAAAAAAAGAAGAATATTTGCAAATCAAACAAAAAAGTTGCTGGTGTTCTCGGAACAATGGACTGATCATCCCAGAGTCACAGCATCATTGAATGTGTTTTGGGTTACTTGAATCATGAGCAGCGTTAAACGCAGCCAGCTTCTAATACTGAACTTCGTAAACTTTGGAGGTGTGGAAAAATATCCCTGTAGATATTCCCTGCAAACTGAAAGCAGATATTCCCTGCAAACTGAAGTCTCCTAGAAAGATTGGAAGCTGTAATGATGTAAAAAGGATGAACACTAAATATTAAAAATACTGAAAATAGATGTAGTTGTTAGGCTTCTGTATAATTTTCTTTTGAATACTGTTAATGTTTTCAGATTTTTTTTAGTGATACTAAAAAAACAAATAACTTGTACTTAAGGACCAACTTCTTGGGTTCCGTCTTTTGCACAGTAACATATATTTTACAGACTTAGTATTGAAAGATGCACAGTGATTGATTATGAAATCCCTAGGCTTCAACTAGTAGGGCTGTGTGCTGTCCAACTAAATTTGCAGCATTAAATTAACTGTGAAGTTAATTTAAATCCACTCTACCCAGAACCTCTTTAGATGATCTGTGTAAATTGGAGTTCAGTTACTACAGATGTTTTTAATCTGCCTCAAATGAGCAACTAAAGTGCAAGGTCACATTCACTAAAGCTTACAGAGTGCACATATACTATGTATATTTACTAGCACTGACTAGTGGATCTTCAGTGCACTGTTTCTGCAGTTACTGATTAATGCAAGAGAAAAGAAAAAATGCAAGAGAAAGAAAAAATGAAACAACAGAGAGTAAGTCTCTGTTTTTGGACCCGGCAAGAGCTTGATAAAAGTGGAGAGCCATCATTTGGCACAAACAGATGAAATTCAAACTGGGCAAAACACTTTGGGTTGAGGATGTGCTGGGCTCGCCTCTTACAGAAAGCCCCTCTTAAAGCTCTTTACGGAGTGATTGTGTACAGTTAGCTATACTAATTCCTTTCAATGGTATTACCAGGCTCTTCAAAGAATCTCCTTACACCAATGAACACTTGCTTTGGCTTTCTCCCAGAGAGAGAGAGAAAATATGGTGTAGAAGCAGACGATTAACATTTAGGTGTTTTTTGTGTTATTTTAGATTGTTTGGGATTTACACCCCCCACCCCCGCCCCATTCTAGATTAACTGGTTATTGTTAACTGGTTGTGAGAAGGTATGTGAATGGAGATTATAGTCCACGTTGGTATAAAGTAGATTTCCAAACTCCTAATACCAGCTTAAACTAGAAATATCTGACAAAAATCCACTCATCTTTGTTTTAGAGAACACAGAGCTGCATGCATATGCACAGCATGTTGCGCAAATTTAAGGCCGTCACAGTCTGACAGTAACTTTATCAATACAAATCAGTCATAGGTCGGTAACAGGATGGAAAGGTAATGACTTTGCTATTTTGAGCTCCGAGTGATGATTTCTGAGCGTTAAATTGAGTGATAGGATGTGCCTTTATTTATTTTTTTTTTTATGGCAAAAAAGTCACATTCATTTCCTATTCATGAAAGCAGATGGCATGGCTGCCTTCCTTCCAAGGTGTCATTAACTCCACGGGAGGTCTACCTATCATTAAATGAAAAAAGCTACTTTACCAGCAAGGGAAATAGGTACAGCCAAAGCACCATTGAGGAAAGTGGCGGTCAAAGTAATAAAAGTGGTATTTGAAACAAAAAAAGCAACTGATGAAATATTGAGTAGAAGGAAGAAGAGCTGAGAGGGAGCGATTAAATTAGCAGCATTGCTGTGTTTTTGGAGGACGCCTTGCTTATCGATTCAAGGTCGCTGCGGCCTGATTTCCACAAGAGAGGCGTAGTCAAACATTATACCTTGTAACTTGATTTACATGGAATTTCATCCAAGAGACTTCTTGTTAAAAATGTATATTGACCCAAATACAAGTGTGCTTTGTTGTTTAGGCAGAGAAAGACTAATTAAAGTTACCACAGGCCGCATCTCAGTACAGATCCATGGAGTTAAGGTTAGGGATTTACTGAGCATTGTTACAATTTTATTAATAGCACAGATTAAATGGGATTACCATATCCATGGCTTTCCAAACCAGTCTTTACCTTAAAAGAGATGAAATTATTAAACAGATTCTCCTTAAAGCTTATATGAATTCCCATATAAAAATGTGTTGTTGCTTTTGATGTTGTGAGATAGAGGTCATGAACTCATCAAAGAGCCTCTCAAATGTGTCTAAGAGCTTCACTTGTCAGATGAAAACAGATGAGCTGGTTGGCTTTCTTTCTCACTTGCCCTTCTCTCTCCTTTTGCCAAAAGTAAATTCCTGCCACATCAGTATGAGAGCACTAGTATTCTTCATACTTGATCAATATACTTACTATTATGCATAACAGCATCAGTCAACTAAATAGATGCAGTATATGTCCAAAACAGTGCTGACACCTGAACATCACATCCATATGTCGAATATCTCAATCCAAAACTATGGGCATTAATGTGGGGTTGGTTACTCCTTTACTACTATAACAGCCTCTGTTCTTTTGGGAAGGGTTTCTACTGGATTTTAAAACATGGCTGCAGGGATTCGGTTGCAGTCAGCAACAAGGGTGTTAGTGAGGTCGACCACTGATGTTAGGTGATAAAGCCTGACTTGCAATTGGCAGATGTATACCAGAGGTATTCAGTGGGTTGAGGTCAGGGCCCTCTGCATACTGGTCAGGTTTTTCAACACCAGACTGAAAACCACTTCTTTATGGACCTTAATTTATGCCTAGAGGCATTGTCAAAGAGAAACAGTAAAGGGCTTTCCCTAAGCTGTTTCCATATTGTGAAAGCACACAATTCTCCAGAACAGGGGTGTCTAGACTTTTTGTCTTGGGGTGAAAGTGCTATGTTTGTGGTGGCCTGAGAGTCAAAAAGACAAAACAATACAAATGAAGAAGATAAGTAGGTATCAAATGAAGCTGAACAAGTTACATGTAGTATAAAAATATTTTGTTCTCTCAATGGGTGAGGAAGTAAGGGTAATTTTTGGGTGGACCATGTAAAATGCCATCACAAGTTTTTGGGCTACTCTACAATAGCTTACTTAAAGCGGCCAAGAAGCATCAGTACTTATCAGCTTCATTGCTACTTATCAGCTTAATTTGGTCCCAGAAAATACAAGTAAATGCTTCTGCTGATATCATACTAAAGAAAATTGACCACAGGACACCCCCCAAGAGGATATTTCTTAGGGGATATGCCAAAATACTTACTAACCTGTCAATTAACATGGGCTTGATCTCACTTTTATTTACACTTTTTTTCTGTATTTATACAGCCGTAGAGATGTGTAGTCTATAAAACTAATCGTTTTTTTGTAGATTTGTTAATGTGTTAATTGTTAATATGGTTGATTAACTGTGTTTGTTTGTGGTTTTGCAGTGACGACGCCTCACTTTCTCCATATTAAAGGGGTAGAAGTGAACGCAGGGCAAACAGCTACCTTCCACTGTACTGTCAATGGGGAGTGGAGAGACAACTTTCACTTGTGGCTACAGGTCTCCCACACACTCAGACACACACACATGAACACACTGCTGTATGTACATGTATACACACCAGTAAGCATTACTTATTACCAAAGCCACCTGTAAATAATGATGCTTTTATGTAATACAAGATGTCTTAATAGCTTTTTTACCTTACTTTCCAAGGGTCAAAACACTACAACTGAGTGAAGAGATTCTCTTTATTTAGATAAAGTATTAGTACCCACCAGCCCTGACAACTCAGAAGTTGCTTCATCACCGTTCCACATTTCTCACAGCATGCTGGGAAATCAGGCCAAGGTTTTGTTCTCCAGTCCTGTATTTCTCCAGGTTTAGGGAGACATCTGGGACTACCTTGCAACAGAAGTATTTAGAGTGAATTGTTTGTTCTTCCTTCCTTCTCTGTAGCTGTGCAGTGTTTTCACTCAGATCACATTCTGTTAATCTCTTCTGACTTTGTCACATTAGCCGCATTGTGTTGTACTTTAAGCTGGGCTGAGTTACATACAGAAGCACTTTAGTTAGCACACACAGCCTGTCTATATTCCACTCAGTCGAACTGCATCACACCAAGCTCTTCATGCTGTCTTCAAAATGAGTAGAACAAACTCGTTTTACTTCTTTCATTCTCTCTTTTCCTGGCTTCAGTTTAAAACCTCATAACCCATTATAACTCCATTTTCTTGCATGATTCGAAAAAACACAGTCTTTGCTTTACATTGTGTGAATATTTCATGCTGAATAGAATGGACCCAAAACAATCTTGTTACATTAACGCACATTAAAGTTAAGAACGTTTTTTTCTGTCTCCTATAAAGTTACTACTTTAATGATGACAGTGACAGGAGAAAAAGGTCACTCCTTCTCACACACTACCTCTTCCTCTCTCTTTCTATCTCTCTCCCCCCCCCCTTCTCTCTCTCTCTCTCTCTCATGCTTCAGTCTCAATACCTCCCTCTGTCTGTCTTCCCCTCTGTCTCTCTTTCTCTCTCTCTCATGCTCTCAGTCTCAGTACCCCTAAATCTCTCTCTTGCCCCCCTCCCTCTCTCTCTCTCTCATTACCTCTTCCTCTCTCTTTTTCCCTCTATCTGTTCCTCTCTCTGTCTCTTCCTCTGTCTTTTTCTCTCCCTCTCCCTCTCTCTCTTGCTGTTTCTCTCTCTAATTGACTTTGTCTCTCTCTTTCTCCCTCTCCCTCTCTCTCTCTCTCTCTCTCTCTCTCACTTTCTGGCATATTCTCTGTGTGGAGGACCTCTGCCAGGTAGTTAGTTCCTTAAACAAACACGTCCTCATTACTAGGCAAAAGAAACACAAACATTAAGTGAAGTCCCCTGATGACAGTAATGAAGAAAGATCTCCAATGAACAAATGGCCCCCATCTGCCTGCTACACTGGGTGACAGCTGGGGGGAGTCTAGAGTGTATATGTGTGTGTGTGCGCAGTAGAGATGATTAAAACTGAAAAAACTTCCAGACAAGAAAACAGTCAAGGAAATATATTGCCATTAATGCACTGCAGTAACAAACAGATGCACTGTTGCACACACAGACACAAACATGCACATGCCTAAGAACACACATGTGAATGCACGAGCTCTGATTCAGTGCTTGTGTATGTCTGGACTGCAGGGTATTGGTGGACGCGAGGCTCCTATGAAGTCCACTAAGCCGTGGAATAACCAGCGCTTCATTGGCATGTTTGATGTGGTGAATACAACAAAACAAGACTCCGGTCGCTACCGCTGCATCATCCACTCCAACCGGGGTGTAGGGGTGTCCAACTATGGAGAACTGACTATCAAACGTAAGTCCATATCACGCCTTTCTCCAGAGGTGTACATCTCTGACTAGATTCCTCCGGATTACACTTCTATAGGAAATGATAAGTGTCATGAACTTTCACCTCCAAAAATGTGTGCCTCCTTTTATTGAGGACAGCAACTGTCAAATAATTTCTTTTTTTGTGATCTACTGAAAATTACCTCAAGTAGTCTATAACAGTAAGAAAAGACATGCTTCGTTTTAATAACTGAATAGATTTTTTATTTTATTATTATTATTATTATTATTATTATTATTATCATTATTATTATTATTATTATCATTATTATTATTATTATTATTATTCACACTATAGCTTATAAATTGTATTTATTCAATTTACCTTTCAGTAAAACTTAATTGAAGTGCTACAAAATAATAAAAAAATCATAATTATTTATATAGCAAGGTTGCATTAAAATGCTGATCCTACCCAAACCGGCGACCCTGAATTGGCTCTGTTGAAGCAGTAGTGAGCAGTGGCGGAGAGCAGAAACAGTGTCTTTTTAACCATCATTGAATGGAGGAGTGTTGAACTCCTCCATTCAATGAACTTTGAATGTTGTTTCTGTTTTTAAATACTTTTTTTAAATACTATAATTATCATATTTATTGAATATTATTTTATTGAATATTTGTTACATACTACTTTTATTACATATTATTATAAATGAATATGACATCAAAACCAGTGGAGTGGAGTTGCTACATTCTGATGCATTTTAGAGCTCTACTGCTGTCTCTCATACTCAAACACACAAATTCTTATAACTACAACCAACTACTTCAGCTACACTAAAGAAGTACTTGCTACTTTCTAAGCTTTAACTTCCTCTGGAATGAGAGATTGTACGTCTTGAGCACACTGTCAGCTGATGGCGCTGTGAGGAAGATTGATGTGTGTTTTATGTTAATGGCTTGCACTCCTTTTGTTTTGATGTGTCTGTACGTGTGCAACTTTACGAGCACCGTCCTTGACCGAGCGTGTATCCTCTCTGGAAGGACATAAAAGCAAGAGCGTATTGATGTACAGTAGGCTGTCCAGCGTGGGCCTCCGCCAGTCATTTGATATGAATTTATAGAGGCGGCCGCTTCTAAATCCTCCTTTCCTTCTCTCTCCCATAGCCGCGAGAGTTAGGTAATGGCCTTCAATATTTCTCCTCCTCAATTTCCCCCTCACTCGCTTTCTCTCGCTCTCGTCGAGCGGCGAATTGAATTTATGGTCCTGTAGGTTTCTTTTTTTTACGGACTCACAGCTTTAGGTGACTGACTGCTTTAATCCTACCTTGTCCACAGAGAGAGCTGTCAGTCAGAACATGCTGACCTCAACTTTGGGCTAGGTCTTGTTTCCTTTAGGGTGTTTTTAGCATTATGGATAGTATTCATTCACATGTTTTTTATATCTGGTTAGGATATTAGGTCACATATATGTCAGTTGCATATATAGGTGGGTAACAAATGAAAGGAAAACCTTGAACAAATAAGTAAGTAAGGAAAAACAGAAGAGCAACTGTTCCTCATGTGACTGAGAATGTCAGTGTAGAATGTGATCAGGTCTACAGAGATGTAAAAAAAAGTAATAGAGTTATCGTCCACCATGTTCTCCACAAGTGGGTGAGTACGTGTTTGAGTCCCCTTAGAGAGAAGGGATACCGCAAATCAATGCAAAGTTATTCTAACTGATTACCTTTATCTTCTAATGAAACATTTCTATCCTGATGGGAGTGGTCCCCTCCGGGATAACAGGACCCCCTTCCACAGGGCATGAGGGATCACTTAATGGTTTGTTGAGTATGAAAATTATGTAAATCATATGCTGTGGTCTTCACAGTCACCAGAGCACAACTTAGTTGTACACCTATAGGAGATTTTGGACTGACATATTAGACTGCGCTCTCTACCACCATCATCAAAACACCAGTTAAGGGAATGTTTTCTGAAAGAATGTTGCATCCCTACAGTACAGTTTCAGGTATACCTATATGCACAGGAATATAAGCCGTATGCAAAAGATCTTTAAAAATTCTAAGCCTTTTGAAGTCTTGAACAACTTAAATGCCCTGTTCAATTCTCCAGTGCAAGATTTCCACATTGTTATGCTTGAGTTTTGTCAGACTGACCCATGTTCCTTTTCGTTTCCATTACAGTACCTACTTTCTTGCATGCGTGGTGGGAATATGTAGGATTTGTTGCTCGAGAGGAATTGTGCCATAGTTCATTATCCTAATCCTCTCTCACGCACACATTAACACCTTCTTTACCTCAATATTGGTGTGTACTGCTCTGCTTTGAACAGGAAGATAATGAACATGCATTTATCTATAGTTGCATTACCTCTTCCTCCTGATGGGGTTTTTGCTTTGGCGGCATTCTGAAATACTTTCAGAGCATTTTAGAGAATGTAGAAGCTTTGGAATTTATGAAACACAGTTACATTGTGCAGAAAATATGAAGAAAAAGTTTCATGCTCAAATTGATCAGTCCCATGATTTTGAACACAAATCACAGTGATTGTCACAAACAGTTGAGAAACAAAAGCCCTTCTTGTGGTCAGTTTGGCTAATACACCAAAACGTTAGGCTTGTCAGGCTGCCTAATTTCCAAAAAAAAAGATTCCAACTCTGAATTTACCAACTCACTCTGCCTGTGCTTAGCATGAGTTTACAACTGCAGATATTTTCAATAGGCCTGAAATTTTAGTCCAAACCTAAATATCACCCAAGAACATTCTGCCCAACTCAACCCACATTGCCAGACTTTAAATTAGCCTCACAAAACTTTGTCTGAACCTGACCAGCAAAAACTAAAGACTGAATGAAATTCCACATTATTAATGATTGCACTTGTAGTGACAGTGACGAATGACATCATCACATCATCAACAAAAATGGAAATTACCAGCGTAATTATTAGCTATCCATGTTTACATTTGTAAAGCGGGGTAAGAGCAGGCCTATGAGAAACCCAATATCATGGGATCTCTCCTCTAGGGAGACTTAAATTGGAACTATCTGTTTGTGATTTGCTCACTCTGGCTCCAGCTCCTCACTGGCTCCTCCCACTCTATACCTCCCACACCTACAGTTTATTCCCTGGGCTCATAAGCTCCCATGTTTATACTCCGTTATTTGGCCTTACTGTTTGGTAAGTCTTGCTGGTATAACCGTGTATTCTAAGCCTTTTCATTTGTTATTCTTGGTTGTTTCTTGTATTTGCTTGCTTTGCTTTCTGGTTTTTGATCAAGGACTCTCCTTGTGTTTTGATGCCTGCCTCTGTACTGACCCATGCTTGTGATGACTATGAATTTTGGATTGCCCCTAATAAAGCTACTTCCTACTTGTATCCTGCCTCTAAGCCCCAACTGTTACATGCGACTGTGAAATTTCAACCAGTATTAGAGAAATTATGCTCAACATGACGCTCTGCCATTTGTAGCATTTTATTTCACGAAAGTAAAAGCTGCTCTTCGTAGAGATAATGCTGATATATTCTGGGTGGTGATAAAGCACCAGCTTTGCTCTGCCTGCTCCTGCTCTACTGCAGCACTCAACCGACTCCGCCTGGTGTCATACCCGCTTGGACACTAGCGTGCTGTAGCTTTGCGTGGAGGCGTAATTGATGTTGAACAGCGCACCGTGGCTTTACGTGGCCATGTCAGCGCTAATGAGCAAAGCCACGGATAATCAGAGTGGCATGGAGATCCTGGTGTAACTCATTAGCTGCTTCTTCCCCTCTCAATCTGTGGATGTGCTATTCACCGGCACTCACGCTGGCCCAATTAGGGCCATGGCAGCTCAGAGACAAGAACAGGTTCAGTGCACGTGTGGACATAAGGTGAGGGTTCTGAATACCAGTTATAGCTACCCTAGAGAGGAGAGGAGACGAGAGGACACAGGAAAAGAAAAGAGGCGAGGAAGAGAGTGATGACGGGAGAAGAGACAAGCAGATTAAAGGAGCAGAGCAAAGAGGAGAACGTTGGAAAGACAAAGAGAAGAAGAGAGGAGAGAAGAAGAGACAAAGAGGTCAGAGGAGAGGGGAAAAGAAGAGAGATGAGAGGAGAAGTGATTAGATGAAGAGAGGACATGAGAGTAGAGAAGAGTGGAGAGCAGATGAGAAAAGAGGGGAGGAGATAAAACAAGGTGAGAGGAACCAAGAGAAAAGGAGAAGAGACAAGAGGAAAAACAGGACAGTAGACTAGTTGAGAGGAGTGGATAAGAGGAGAAGAGAAATGTAAGAAGAGGAGATGAGGTAAGAGGAGACACAATGAGAGGAGATGAGATGAGAAAACCCCCCCAAAAAGATGATGGTTAAAGAGGAGATGAGAGAAGAGGAAAACAGATGAGAGGAAAAGAGGAGAACAGAGAAGAGAGGAGATGAGATGACAGGAGAGGAGATAAGATAAGAAAAAAAAATGAAAGGCAAGGAGAGAAGAGAAGACTAGGTGAGAGGAGGCAAGAGAAGAGGAAGTGAGAAGCCATAAGAGGAGAGGAGAATAGATGAGATGAAAAAAAATAAAAGAAGGGAAGACAAGCTGAGGATAGGAGATGTGGCAAGAAGAGTGGAAAAACAACAGAAAAATAATAGTGAAAGACTGTAAAAGTGTTGAGAAAATGAGAGGATAAATTGCACTGTGCTTATGAAAACATGAGAGGAGGGTTCTGTATATATGCTGTAGCTAGTGTAGAGGAGAGAAGACAAGAGGACTCAATAGAAGAGAGGAGAGGAGGTGAGACAAGGGGAGAGTGGACAGAAGAAGAGGAGAAGAGACAAGAGGAAAGAAAGGGAGAGAGGAGATGAAACAAAAGGAGGTGAGAAAAAATGAAAGGAAAGGAGAAGAGGAGACGAGACAAGGGGATGGGGAATGAAAGAAGAGGAGAAGACATTAAGAGGAAAGGAGGAGAAAAGAAGAGGAGAAAAAAATGAGTGGAAAGGACAAGAGAGGAGAGGAGGTGAGATGAGACAAGAGGAGAAGAGTGTGAAAGG